TTAGAACCGTTTTTCGGCGCGTGACGCTGTGACAAAAAAGGCCCTAAATTCGAAGTGCTTCTCATTAAAAGCTAATTTGCTGCGAATTTACAAGACCTAATAAAAAGCGCCTCGACCAAAATTTGTAGAGGAGTAAACGAGCTACTGATTGCTAAAAAAGAGTCTTTCGAAAGAGCTTTTCCTTCCTCAATAATTGTATTTTATCGTCGTGACGCTGTGACAGTCGTTTTTCCCAACAAAGTTTGGAGCACTAAACATTCCTCAAAGGATTTCATTTTCACAGCAGACTTAGTTTTAGGCATATGATATAGGCTAAGGTGAAAATAAAGCTGAAAAAATGTTTTCACTTTCTTAGAATTGTGTGAGAATCTTAAAACTTATAAATTTATTATAAAGCTTGTTTTGAATCTAAACTTCAAAAGAAACATACCATCTTGTATAGAACCGAATTCTTCGTCGATTAGTATGGCCTTCCATTTTTATTAGGAAAAGTGTCTAGGTGAAGAAACTGAAAATACAGTATTCAAAAAATGTAAAACTGGATTTTTAGTGCCAAAATTTAACGTTTTTCAAAAGCTAATGTGAGATTCGTAATCAGCGCCAAAAACTGCATCTAGTGATATGCTCCTCTCAGTTCTACTCTAAAATAAATTTTTCAAAAACTTGATCAGCGCAGTTTCGAGCGGACAGGCTGCGGAGTTGAACTAAAGTTGAGACTTTTGTTGAGAGATTTGGCGTTGGAGTTCAAGTTCGAGTTCGAGTAGGAAATTTGAAAACGGAGTTGAGTTGGAGTGGAGTTGGAGTTGAAAGTGAGCGGAGTTGCCCAGCCCTGCTGTTTTTAGAAGAAAAGTCAATGAGAAAAATAAAACTACGAAACTTGAAAGTTTACTGCCGAAAGTGGTTCTAAATCAGGAACTTCTCAATTTTCACAAACAGAAAATTGCTCCCTACTGTATCTCGACTGCATCGTGTTCCCGAAGAGAAAATCGAGTAAAACACGATGAAACCAGACTCAAAAACCGTAGGCTTTGTATACAATTCTTTTTCTCCTGGTTTTATACACTGTATCAATATATAACATATATATTAAGACTGGTATCTGTGTACAGTGAAGGCTTCCATCGTCCTTCTTCCTTCACATCAGTCGAAGAGTATACGTCACAGCATATAAGTATGGAAAAGATATAAATCTTTTTTTATACACAGAGTGTATATTTATATTAGTAATATATGCTTTTGATAAGGCTAGAACACTGTACAAGTATAGTAATTTCATTCTCCTGACCGTGTCTTTGAAATAGTCCTGCAACAGTTACAGTTAACCGGTCATAACCGTAACCGTAAATAACCGCTTTATAACAACTTAATCTATGTTTGGTTTTTAGTTCTCTGATATCGATTCACATTAGAAGTAGACAAAGATGGTCTTTGTCCTGACGTTATAGTGCATCTGCTATAGTGACAGTCTACACTACATTGTTTTTTCTATATTTTTTTTTCTATGTTTAAGTTTTTCTAGTATTTTCGTTCTCTCCTGTTTCAACTAGTATATATAATCATCTCTCTTCTAAATTCACAGTCATATTAGCCTGATGATGATACTGTGAAGTATCGAAAGCTTAGCTTTATAAGAAACGTAAAAAAGTCAAAGAATGTCAGTATATTAAAATCTTTCACCTTTCATCATGAATCTCAGCATTTTATCTACTGAATTTGAGTACTACACAGGTTTAAAGTGCATCCATGTCACTATAGTAGAAGCACTACAACATGAGGACAAAGACCATCCTTGTCTACTTCTAATGTAAACCGATATCAGAGAACTAGACCCAAACATATATTAAGTTGTTATAAAGCAGTTATTTACGGTTACGGTTAACGGTTAATAACCGTAACCGTTGCATGCCTACTTTGAAATGAAAGCACGAATTTTCGGTTGATCATTCGATATGAGCGAGATCTCGTGCATTTGAAATATTCCGCTGCGTTACTCTTTTTATTAGATACAGTATTTTATTCAGAACACAAGCACCGAATTTTTATTTTTCGATTAGAACACTCCCATTGAAATTTAGAACAAACACTGAACGCATGTTTTTACATCTATTCAAATACAAGCGTTTGTTCTCTTGAAGGTTGTATTCGCCCACTTGTCACTTGCTAGCTACCAGAAGGATGTTATTCTCTCTCTAGATGCCTCAGAAACTCTGATCCTAATGGCCCAGGTCTTTCGAATCAACTGGCTACAATCCAACAGAATAAACTACTGGCGGGTCTGTCTGTATATCACGACAAATAAAAGACACATCAGCACATGAATGGAAAAAAGGAGAAACAATATAACTGAACGGAAAAGAACAGAGACAATATAAGCAAAAAAAGAAAAAGAAGGATCTTCTATCGACTATCCCTGTCGCTATCCAGGAGCGAGAGATTTTGAGAACTGAAAAAATTCCTTGTGAGCTCATTTCCAGATAGGCCACGTAAGTTTTTTGTCGATATTTTATGCAATCAAACGAACGACATATTCTTTTTCAGAGAAATGCTCAAGAATGCAGAAAATGGTTACTCATATTCGAGTGTTGACTGAAGCTTGTGGACGTTGTTATTTGCTCAAATCACACCATACTCTGTCGATATAATCTCTGTTATTTGTCGCCCAGAAAGAACAGCAAGAGTCTATTTCATCTTATCCTGCGCATGTCACTACAGAACATAACGAAAGATTTCACAGCGTCCAGCAAAATAGTGCATGTTCTCGTCATTGTAGCATGCATTCAATCAGAATTAATCATTTACCTCTTCATGAATTGTAACAAGCAAGTTTTTTTCTGAAGATTTTGTAGATCACGACATCAGGTGTATCTCTACACTATCCTCTTCTCTTTCCACCTTCATCGACACTACAATACAAAACTTGAAACGGCCATGAGTGAAATGAAATTGGAGTATGACGAAGGTGGAGAAATGTTTCTTTATTTTATTGTCCCTGTTTATGCATTCATTCTTTTGCCAGTAACATATTGGTTATGGCCTAAGATAGAAGAAAGGAAAATTGTACCACATCCCACAGATACATACGATTTTGCTCCATATCGCAATAAATATCGATTATTGCATGCAAATGAACATAATCGAAAACGACAAGCAATACTAACTAAAATTGGTTTAGTCGTAGCATGCATTTTTTTATTAATTCTTATTTATCGTGTATCATTAATTAAAATTGAAAATGGAGAATATGATCCATTTGCAGTATTGGGTGTTGATCAAGAAGCGCCAATCAGTGAAATAAAACGAGCATATCATAAATTAAGCTAAGAACATCATCCTGATCGTAATGGTGATCCAGAAAAGTTTAAAGAAATAGCTGAAGCATATAAAACATTAACTGATGAAGAAGCAAGAGAAAATTGGAGAGAATATGGAAATCCGGATGGACGAAGAGTGGTACGTGTGGGTTTTGCTATACCAAAATGGTTTGTTGATCGTCAAAATTTAAGGTTTATACTTTTGATTCACACTGGTATCTTTATGATTGTTCTTCCAGTTATTGTTGTATGTTTATTAAAATAAAATTTTCTCATAGATAAAAAGACCCTTGGTATTTTTTTCCAGAAGCCCCCAATTGCTCTGCTGGCGGCCCGCCAGTGAGTTATTACTTTTCTGTTTTTTCGGTGGAGGGAAGTGCTTAGAGGAGATCAATACCCACATTTCGGGTCTGGATCTGATCGGGTCCTGGTCCGCAATAACGTGGACCGGCAGCTTCCTAATCGTTCTATGCTATTCTTATAAAGAGTAATTGTAATGAACAAATGCATAAAGTACTAATTGCTTTTTTTGGTTGAACAATTCATATCAATAAAAGAAATACAATAAGTTTTCTATTATCGAAAACAATTTAATCTTCTGGATGATCGGGTTCACTTTTGCGAAGGGTTAATCGTCTACTCTCTTCCGAAATGTATTTTTTCTTTCGGTCTATTTTTCATCTTCTTCCTTATCTCTCTATCTCTCTCGGCTATTAAAAGTGCACAATTTTATGGTGTTAATCGGGTGACAAGATCGAAATCAACAGCTGCAGGTGGACCAGCTAACATTAAACGACCACAGCAATTATCACTATAAACAAATTTCAATAGTAATAATAATAAGAAAAAACAAACACTGAAAGCTGCAGTTAGTGTTCAGCGCGCAATTGATAAAGTTCAAGCAGACGATAACAACAACAATACATGTAATACGAAGTGGCGACAGATCTGGTCGTGGCAGTTCATCTGGACGAGGAACTCGTGTACGCGGTCGTAGTGGCGGAAGAAAAGGTAAAAATCATGCGGCCAGTAGAACTGCAAATTTATCGTTGTTGATGAAATAGTGATAGTAGTTAATGTAGTTGTGAAGATGAAGAAGAAGGGACGCGGTAGAGACTAAGTGAAGATGTATTTTGAAAGTGTAAATTTGCTTTTTGTTTGGTTTTTCTTCTTTTTTCTTTATTTTTAAGAAAGGGTGTTCCTTCACCAGGTTGAATTAGATAAAATGCAATGTTATTTGAAAAATTATAATTTATTTTATTCCTCTATGTCTTTTGTTGTGACACCGTTGTCATGTTTATTTGTATTAGAATGAAAACGCTGCATTTCTATTTTTTTTCTTTCAAGCCATGTTGGTAGCTATTTGTTAGTTTGTTTGAAAATATATATTTCGAGAGAGATGAATTATCTTTTGGCGAAACGTCAGAGATTCCCCAAAATTTTGCGTACACAAAAGACCATAAAAATCGTTTCGCCGACAGACGATTCACCAAAAGACAATTCGCCAAAAACTTGTACGCTTTCGCCAACTGGCGAAACGTGGGATGAGTTCTCGCTTCGGCGAATTGTCTTTTGACGATACATCAGAGATTCCGAATAATTATAGAAAGGCAAATTTCAAAACAACAATATGAGTATAATATTCTGGAAAAATGCCCCATTGGTAGGTTACTAACGAAACTACTTCCATCATATTAACAATCACAAACTGTTGTGTGCTGCCTGATTTTCACAAAAAACTTCTTGTGAACATAACTAATGCCTCTTATTGGGAGTGCGAACATAATAGGTTTGAGTCTGTAATAGAAGCTGTCAACAGTGAAGTTGGACGAAGAAATCCAAAATGTTTCTGCGGACGACATGTTTTGCCCAGTAGCGGAAGATGCAAAGACGTGCAGGTAGCAAAACTTCGAGCTGCGTCCACCTCTGATCACTGTCAAAGTAAGGCTCGCGTAATGCAAACTTTCAGCAAAATTTTACTTTAGGCATTATTATACACGATTTGATAGAACTCGATGCGCTGATTAAGAATATTTTTAATTTTTCGACACATATTTTTCATGTCGAAAGATCGAGAAAACTAGGAGCTAAAACCTCGAAAAAACGATGGTGTTGAAAAAAGTTGGATTTTTCGACTAGGGTTTTTACTCGGAAAGTTCAAACTATTTTCGAAAAGTTGACCATGTTGAGCATGTCTGAATAAAATATTCATGCTTGACAACAAAAGTTACACAAAGCTGTCCTGTTACTTTCTCCACCAGAATTTTACTATTCAAAGAGAATTTTGAGAATTACCGCGAGAATTTCGGTCACTTCCACGAGAGTTCTGATGCATGTACAATAATTCATACGGACCATAATACTTTCTCGACCAGAATTTTACTATTCTACAGATATTTTGAGAATTACGGCGAGAATTTTAGTCAGTTCCACGAGAATTCTGCTTAATGCACAGGAATTCACACTGACCATAATACTTTTCCCACGAGAATTTTACTATTTTATTACTAATGTTTTCGCAACGTGTTGGAAATGAATGTACAGTAAATGTACTGTACATTCATTTCCAACACGTTGCTAAAATATTGACAGCAGTAATGAACAACAAAGACTTTTTCTCGAATAAATGGCCTATTATGACTTCTTGAAGCCAGATTTTTCTCAAAGCGCCTTGACAATAGCTGGGCAGGCCTGACCTTCGGATTGATCAATGCTGAGCTTTCAGATAAATTTTGAGCGTATCAGGGTTTCTAGAAAGCGTAAATTATCTGAGATTTTTTTATATAAACAGTAGTTTTCAATGATTGCAGTCGGAAGAAAAATAAAATGGATATAGTCCTCTGAAATAAATGCTTTTGTTTTTCATTATAAAATCAGTCAAAACTCAACAAAGTTTTCGTTGGGATGTATAGGTCTTTAGACCGATTTGAACCTATTGGACCGATCAAAAGAAAAGCAAACTAACCGACATTATTTTGAAAATGTGATTTAATTCAGTTCTGAAACAAGAACATTAGCTTAGTTTGTAGCATCCGATGGACTGATTTAATTCTCAGAATACAGGACATTCAGCAACTCTGCTGCTCCGACTCGTCTGCTAATTAAGCTGGCCTATTGCGTTTCACTCCTAACGATGCCTAGCAAAATTCTTCTTTCTTTCTTGCCATACGGTTTTTCTAGTTCGGATCAGCTACTCGTTAGGTTATAGCTGATCGTAGAGATTCGCAAAAAAGATCAGTCGAATCTACAACACTGTAACTTACAACACTACAACTGGTTACAATGGTTTATGATGTAATTCTTTATATAAAGCAGATGTACGTTCTGATGTGCTATATAAATAGTTTATTCTTATTTTAGATGATAATTCAATGTACAACGAACAGTAAAAAAAATTAGCTGATACTATTTTGTACGTTTTTTTGATGATTAGGATCTGCTCAATATTGTGAATCTTTGGTATCATCCATTTACTGGTAAACAGATATCTGTACAACGTGATAACTAAATGATAATCAAGATCGTCGAGAAACTGAACTGTGATAGTTAATAGAAATATTCCATCATTTAATACTTCACGATCTAAACTATATAGATATTGTCTTCAGTTTTCAACTGTATTTTATTTTTCTCATCTTAATGTCTGTAATTGTTATTATATCTAATTTTTGCCGCTTTCTAAATTGCCATCTATTTATATTATTTTTCAGTTTAACTCCATATTATTCCAACATAATAAACCAAAGAACAGAATAAACCAAACAGTTACAAAAAAAAACTGGAATAACTTTTTCAAAAAGAAATATTCGTTTCTTAGAACTTCAAGTGAGGAGAAAGTAGAGATTAATACGCTGCAATAGCCTATATTCCCAAGAAAATTGCGCTTGACAAAACAAAACGAAAAATAGTAGCACGATTAACAGGTATCACTTGAAAGTTCTTTTTATCACTTTTTCTTTTTCTTCAAAGATTTCATATGCCATGCAACAACAATACGTCGCCAATAACGTTCTTTTATTCCAGTATGCCACATCAATATACATCATGCCTATAAAAAAAATATGTCAGAGATTTGTCGTTTACCCTCCTTTTGAGCAAAAGGATTATATTGAAATAAGCAAAAAGTACAACACAATGCAAAATTTATCTACCTCTATTTATTCGAGATGTGTTCAAACATAACGTATAAAAAAAGACAAGAATACACAAAACAAAGTACTTACTCATAGTACTCAATATATTGAATGCTATGGGTAAGTACTTTGTCCCCGTCCACGCCTGTTCGCGTACATAAAATTATCGTCCATGCGTCTTCGCACGTGGAATTCTCGCAAACAAGACTATTTTGCCCTGCACACACGTGAGAAAAAGATTCAATCCGTGTTTGCATCGTGGAGGGTATCAAAATGTCCACATGGGTACAACCATTTTGATAATTATCTCTGCACCCTTCTAATGCGCGGCACTTGAAAAATTTTGTGTAATCAAGAAGCGTGGCGGGAAGCCCGCCACATTTCGTAAACAAAGTACTTGCTAAAAATCAAATCATAAGATGAATATTTGTAAGAATCAATGTTTCTCTTTCATCTTGTTTATTAATCGTAGCAGAATATTTTTTCCTATTTCTAGTAGCTTACCATCGTAGCCGAGATTTTGGTTTATCTTTTGTGGCTTTGGGTCAGATTCAAAAAACACGCTAAGTTCTTCAAGTTACTACTGCTACGCTAAGTTCTCTTTGACTTTCATATGACCTAAACATATAGACAGGAAAATGCATAAATATGGTCATGTAGTGCAAGACAGACGAGTATAAGCACTATTGATAGTTAATCACAAAGAAAGCTTAGGGTCTCTGTTCTTTGTTTGTGTATAGCTTGTCTTTCTTCCTTCATTTCTTAAGGGGAAGGGCGGGCAACCTTCTCAATTTGAAGAGAACGTCTGGCTGCGTATAAAATTAAATTTTTTCGATGAACTAAGAAGTATTCGCGGAGTTATTAATTAATTAAGTTTTAGTTTTAATTAAAATTCTAACTGCCAGTCCTTTTTATAAAAAGCTTTCAGCTCCATCAAAAAGAGTTGTAGAACCATGGTTCTAGCGTGGTACATGATTTGATCATGTTGATATAACTGTTCGTTCTCATAACAAAACACAATCAAAGAATGCCAGTGCCAAATAAACGTAAGAATTCTATATCGAAAATATAATAAAATAAAACCATATTGAATATAACATTTACGAATTTTGTATGAGCTACATGTAGCAGAACTTTGGTGTTATACAAGATGAAGTGTGATTTGTCTTCATTAACAAATAATAGATATGGTGCTAATCAACATTTTTCTTGACTGACTTTTTCGCAAAATTGACTGTAAATAATTAACTTCTTATACTGTTTTGAGCTTGGATAGACAGACTATGAGCTTCTTTTTTTGAAGCTACACTCACATTATGCAAGAAGAGAAGTGTGCTTACCAATGAATTTTTAACAGACGTCAAAACAGGTATATCATATTTAACTTTCAATGTCTTAGCAATCACTATAATACTTTCTGAAATTAATTTTGTTATTACAATAAAAGTTGTAGGAAATTTCAGATAATTCATCAATATATTCATTAATATGACCTCAATTAAAGAGAAACATACATAAATAAAACGCTTTTTGAAGTATTCATAAAGTCATTTAATTGAGTCACTACTTACCAGTTCTTAGAGCTTCTTCTATCTGTATACTGAAATTTGGTAATACAAGTTGTCGATTATGGTACTAAACACAAATCGAAACAAAATTGTTGAGTTAGATCAAGTGAACACTA